GTGCAACATTTCGTGTACGTCTACATCATTCAAAATGAATGTATTTATGTATGACATTCCTCTACCAGCCTAAATAAACAAGGGGGAAAACAATGAGCGGGGTACCCATTTCGCCACGCTAGACACGGATTATTCTGCTTTTCTGTCAACTCACTCTGACTCCACCGGTTCTAAACACCCCAAATCACCCTTGTTTGTAACAATACCGGCCGCATACGTTTAAAGGTAGTGTGCCAGCTTTCTTGGACCGTATGGAGTTAATGGCCCAGATAAGGAGAACCGGATTTTTAGAACTTATCCATACCTTCAAAACTCATGGAAACGTCTTGAATTCTTCAAATTTTGAGTACCCCAGTGCGAAATTCGCCCCGACGGGTTGTCGGTCGTACCCCAACCACATTTCACACCACTATGAACAATAAATGCACACACTAAAATCGCTATTACCGATATGCTCATCCAATCAAGTTTCGATAAACCCGTTCATCATCAGCTCCTGCGGTTTCGAACACGCCTGTTAGGTGGTGCGGTAGACCACGCCCAAAGCCAGTGCCCCGGTAACGTGAGGTAGCCGAGTCAGGGCAGCGTGCGCTGACCCAAGCCGGAGCCGCGCGTCCTCCCGGTGTCATGTGATAGCCCGGGGCTGCCCGCGGGGATGCCTCACGTTACCGGGGCCCTGGCTTTGGGCGCGGCTTCTGCGGTGCGGTGGTGGTGCGTCGGGCTGCGCGCTCTGACTTCGGCCAAGAAAAATGCGTCAGCTGATCATTGTCATTTCTGCCACTTGCGTCAAGTTGCGTGTGGTGAAATGGGGTCATAACTTATAAATCGGCTTTTTCATATCAATTATTTTACATAAAATCATATTTCAAACCATAAATAATGTTCGACAGCCAAATAAAAGAAACAATACCAATACGGGCTTATGTACAGTTTAAGGCTCGACATTGTGTTGTCTACGATTAGACAGCTGATAACTCATTCCCGTACGTCGTATGGTCGTAACACTATAATGACCTTTGCTTATTGTCACAAGTGCGCCGCATTCGCGATTGTTGCCCGACGCCTGTTTGCAGGTGAGCCCACTACAGTTGTTATACATATCTAAAAACCGATAAACTTTTAGGCGAAAAAGGCACTATTCCAGGCCCATTTTTGATTTTTTTGCGATATTAGGTAAAAACAGAAGCTTCTTATCCTAGGAAAAATGAAATGGGAAATCTTTCAAAGGTGGCACACTACCTTTAAGCCTGCAGGGCCCAAGGTGTGGTCAGTGCTCCCACCAGAGGACACGATCCGCTGAGCTGGGGAAAATAGCAGGAGCGCCCCGGACATTTTCTGAGGTCAGAGACGTATCCGTGTTCTGCACTATGACATTGTGCGTGCAGTGCTATGACCAGGGCTGCGGAGTCGATGGATTTTCGGCGACTCCGACTCCGACTCCGACTCCGGCTTTCAAAAACCAGCTCCGACTCCGACTCCGACTCCGGGCAGAATTGTCGACTCCGACCGACTCCAACTCCCGACTCCGACTCCGCAGACCTAGCAGGGCTGCGGAGTCGACAGATTTTCGGTGACTCCGACTCCGACTCCGGCTCGGGTTTCTAAAATCGACTCCGACTCCGACTCCGACTCCGGTCACAACTGTCGACTCCGACCGACTCCGACTCCGACTCCGACTCCGACTCCGCAGCCCTGGCTATGACTCTGCTGAACTGCTCACACAGATAGAAAGACACACGAGGAGGTGTTCTTATTTAGCAGTTAATCTAGCTTGAATGTGTGTTCTATAAAACAAGCTAAATAAAAAGATAAAAAAAATCATTTATCATCATTTATCAAGGTAAAAAAAAAAAAATCATTTATCATGGCATAAGTGCCGAGTGGTGGCAGAGGCTTCCTCTGTGTGTAGTTTATGCGACGAAAACACCAATGGCACAATCAATAGTTGGGTAGCGTCGATCTAATAAATTTTCCTTCCATCACGTCAGCCGTCAGTTCAGTCGTTACGCTGTCGCTGCAGCATTGGCCTTGCACTCGCAGAAATAATCGGTATGGTAATTATACATACATCATGTCGCGGTCTTTGACGTATTTACGTCCGACATGCGGTTAAATAGATGCCAATCGGTTCTGGTGAAATCAGCTGCATGTGAGAAGTGCTGAAAATATGCTGGGCTGCATTTAAAACCAAGTCAATTGCGTTTTTTCTAAATGAGCAATTAATGGTCTACCTTTCAACGACTTTTTCACGCGTTTTATGATGATAGTCTCCAATTACAAAACAACACCTTCTTAGAAGACAGCTGTTCAAGTATTTGTAGGTACGTACTTTAATCCATTTTGGTATTAGAGCTCCACTTGAGAATGCTGAAATAGTTATCAAACGAATATAATAATGACAACCAGGAAGCAAACTACGCTTGGTGCCAGCTGTATGTAAGTCTATAGACACACGCCAGGGTGTCTCGCACGACGCTCGGTAAGATGTGCCCCCTGTGGCTGCGTGCAGCGGTCATGCAGTTGCCCCCCCTGCGGCCCAGCGCGGTGCTACCGTGTGACCTTCGCAAACCCCTGCAGTGCCGGTGGCGGAGCGGGGGTACCCCTCGGTCACGGCTCACGACCACCGACCGGTCGATAGCACACTCATTGTCCACCCAGTTAGCGGATTCGGCTGTGTTTACTTGGTTGTCAACGCGTCAGGGCCCGCCGGTGCCGGTGGCGGCGGCGGCGGCGGCGTCGGCGGCGACACGACAGTGCCTTGGGGTATGGTGACGCCGACTGACCAGACCCGCGAGCCTGGCCCGAGCGCCCGCAATTGCATGGAGCTATGACCGGTGAGAGGGGAGGGGGACAGAGGAGGGGGAGGGGAGGGTGAGAAGGGAGTCAGCAAAGGAGGCAGGGTGTTGACTGTTCGTTCGGAGAGATATTTGCTTCTCGGCGTAAAGTGTTTGGTAAAATGTTGCGTGCATTCTATCCGGTCTTATTTTTTTCGAGGCTGGATGCATGACAGTTCGATGCTCTTGCCCTTGACGTTCCTGATTGAACCTGATCTCAACAATTTGTCACCTAAAAACCAGTCTTGTTAAATGGTCGACAAAAACTGGCTTTTGTCGTTCAGCGGGTATCATCTGCAGCTGACCCTGGTGTCCAGATGTGACCGCTTTGAAAAATTGATGGACATGAATAGTCGTTATTTGAAAATATATAAGCATGACCTTTCCTCGATATTGAATAAAAAAGTGCCGAAAAATGTACTTTATTGACAGAAAATATGTGATATTTCGGCCACTGGCCTTTGTCGGCCAGTGACAAAGGCCAGTCGAAGTGCCGTCGAAGGACGCAAAATGGCCTGTGCCGGCGAGGGATAAAGTTTGATGTGCTTGTGAGGACGGTCTGAATAAAAATGGTCTTGATTCGTGGTTAACATTTATTTGCGAGCATTTTAATAACACAACCAGGGTCATGAGTTCAGACCAGCAATCCAAAAATAACTTTTCTTGCAAAATTTCATTAGAAAAATAGCCAATACTTATTTATAACGCGGACAGATGCAATAGCATTGCTTTTGAGCTCTTGCATGGACTTGATTAAATTTTCGGCGTCGGGCATTCCATCCTAAGTAGTCCAGGGCTTGATCAGACACGACACAACACTGTTGGCCGTAGCCCGGCTGGTCAATTGAGCTATACCAGCTCTGACGGTTATGTCGACAGTGATATGTGGAATTGAGCTCGCGAGAGCAGCGCTAGCACCGAAGGACACAAAGCCAACGCTATATGAAGTTCACGGACGACCGAACTAGGTCGAACTTGTGGTTGGGCCAATATGAAAGGAGCATTGCAAACCCATGGCTTCCTGGCCCGGACCACACCCTGGCCGGCCCTCAGCATTGACCTCAAGCGAGCCTTCGTCACCGTTATATACCGTTCATGGACACGCCAGTTAGCACAATGTATAGGGCACGATCGGATATGGGCGCCTGATAGTCTGGCGTAGAATCTGTCGTGGTGGTCTTTAGGCTATGGCCTGAAACGCAGCTGCGGTTATTCTTAGAATCAACGGAAAAGTTTTTGAATGACTTTCGATTCCGGCATTGATGTCAGCATTGTCTTGGGACATCACAAATCAACCAGGTATGCCACACTTCGGTAAACTTTCCAGTCTTCTTTCCGCTTTCCGGGCTTATGAGCTGGAAATACCAGATCACCGTTGCAGTGGATGACGTCAAAATTATTTCGAATGCTGTTATTCTGTTCGCGAACCGTGACCCCTACCATCATAAAATTTTTAGAACAATGAATCAGGTAATAAACGGGTCAAAATGGACCGTGCCACAGACGTCCTATTTATTACATAATGACGTTTGCGAGTAAAATAGGTTCGTCGCCCAGGTCATCTTCTTGTTTTCAAACGGTTAAAATTCCGTCAACATTAAAATAAGTCTTGCACAAATAAACAGAGTACAAATGCAAATTATCTGCCCTTATACCTACCGTTTTTAAAAGCACCTATTCTAAGGTATTTTGAGCATCTGTAACATGCCGCTTGAACGAAGTTTATTCAATGTCTGCTATTCTCCAATGTCCTTACAAAACGAGATCTATCTTTTGACATATTTCGCCGAGCTTCACTCTGGCAATTCCGTGGCACACACCCATTCATATCTATCTCCGAATCTTTATATTCGCATTTCCCTACTCACCGAGCACCTACATGACGTCCAGGGTCACCTGGCTGACGGCACCATTGATCATTGGTGTGCGCCCTGCCCCGGCGCCAGCGTCGTGTTGGTGCAGCCACGGCGCGACCGTAGCCACGCGACGCTCCGTTGTTGGAAGCACTGCACCAGCTGAGCTGATCAGCCGTTCAGGCAGTGACCCGGACCAGTCGAGTGTGAAGGAAGCCGGCTGGATAATAATTTAACAGCCACGTGCACTTCCGCTGACGCATTGCTCACGGAACCGCAGAGCTAACATTATGCAGAGCTAACGTTATGCAAAATGGAAGAGCCGTCGGAGGAAATTCAAAGACTTCATAAAGAGATAGTAACGACCGAAAGGTAAACTTTCTGTGAAGTGCAAATAGGTGACCAGCGGTTGCCGAGAATGGACTTATGAAAAAGTTAACAGGTTCCGCACATGCAAAAGGAAGCATTTAATATGAAATGTGTGCATAATGCACATTTGCAGGATCACTAAATACGGTCACGAGTCACATGGCCAGGAGACAAAATTTATTGAAATATCATCCCAAGTAAAGGCATTATCTAAAGTAACAAATCTTTTGCACTGTTACAAACCATTTGGTGTCTTGAAATAAAGAAAAGCCAGTGGACACACTTCATTCAACATTAAAGCAAGGTTTTCGTGCAGCGTTTAGAAGGTGGATACGCGCAGGGTCGCTTTCTAGGAAGTTCGCATGGGCACTACGCTGAAGTCTGATGTAACCGAACAATAATTCTTTTAACCCGCGCCCCACTGGGGTCTGCGTATAACACGCCCTACTGGGGGGGGGGGGCTATTCATAGCCCCCCTCCTAACTCCGAAATTACTGGGCCGATCGTCAAAACTCAAACGGCGTCTGATAGCCCCGGAAAAACTGTCGAACGAAACCTAATTTCATTGACCTCGAGGTCACCGATGACGTCACAGGTCAGGTCAAAGTAAAAATTATTAGCATTTTGGCTTGTTCACGTTTTGGGCTCTGACCGCCGTCTTACAAATCAGATCAGGCTCATTTTTGGTTCACACACTCGTGAACAGATGCTCTAGATACCCTGAGGGTACCAAACTTGTACTTTGATTTTCAGGTCAAGGTCAGGTCATCACAGGTCACGAAAATATTATATCATGCGTCGGTCACGACTCACGTGACACATGTTTTATGGTCCATTTAGGCCAAAAATTTCGAATTTGATGTCGTCTGTGTCATTCAAGGTCATTTTGAGTCAAATTTAGCTTAGGTCAGGTCACTTTCAGGTCAAAAAAGGTCAAATTTTGAAGTTGAAATTTTTCAACAAAAAAGGTGTCTGTTGGATGCAGTTTGAGCTCAGGAACACGATGGTGCTATTTATATTGGCGTACGATGTCAAATACGTGCTAAAAATTGATTTGAAAAATTAATAATTATGAATTTTTTTGCAATAATGCGTATAACTTGGCCATTCTTGAAGATATTTAGCTTAAACTTACTAGAGTTAGTCATAATAATGCGTTCTATCACATATATTCCGGTTTTTTCGAAAATACAAAAAAAAAAATTGAAAAAATGTAAATATATAAATTTTGAATTTTATTATATTAAATTTTCGAAATGTTCAAGATTTCGAAAATTCGAGATAGCAGTTTGATAGCGCAGTCTATTCTGAGTCCTCTCATGCAAAGAAATTGGATCTAGCTTAAAAACTGAGCTCTTGGGAGCGATTGCCGTGGTTCAATGTTTTGCGTCGAAATCGGCCGAACATGACGTCACTCTGACGTCATTTCCGGCCGACCTATGGTAGGTACGAAGCTCAAATTTTGACGCAAGGTGTCATATTGATGCAGCCGAAGGTACTGAAAGCTTGGCGTCGATACGTCAAGCGGTTTGGAAGTTATTGCAGAAAAAACGGGAGGGGGTGCTATGAATAGCCCCCTCCCCCAGTGGGGCGCGGGTTAAATCTGCTGCATATGATATTTTAACTGACTGATATTGGATCAGGTTCAGACAGAGTGCAGAAAGTTACACGAGGCCATCTTGCGCTGAACGTGTTAGACAATCGGGATGGCTTATCCTGCACATTCAGGGCAGATGAGAAGGAAAACGTGTTTGGTTTTCGACAAGCCCATGATGTGTTTTGATTACCAGTGATGGAACTTCGGAGAAGTTTTCTTCCTGATCTGTCTAAGGTGACTAATTGTGCCCATTTTATTATATCTTCTCTGACCAGCCTTTGCCTCTGACAAGTCTGAGATTATGGGAGGTTCTTTCCTGACCAGACCCTGCCCCTCAGACAGTTCTAGGATAGTTGGACTACGTTCTCTGACCATCTCTGTTCCTCCGTCAGGTCCGAGATAATGGGATGTGGTCGCAGTCGCGTGTCGGACGAGACTGACGAAGCCGAGGGTGACCGTCTGGTGGTGAGCGGCGCCGGCAGCGCCGGCAGCAGCGCTCCGCGCGAGGCCTGGGTGCCCGACAAGCTGCGCGCGCTGCCGCTGCTGACGCCCCTGCTGCAGCCCATGGTGTCGCTGCGCGGCCGCCGCACCACGGCCGTGCAGAGCATGCAGTCGTCCCAGTCGCAGACGGACAACGTCTTCAACGAGGACGAGTTCGACTGGGACCTCAGCGACCGGACCGACGCCGAGACGCAGACGTATAGACTCCCCCATCAGCTCGCCGCCGATGTCAGTGTTCAGACTGATGTGCGATTCACGCAGATCATGCACGGTGCCGGCGGTGGTGAGGTGGCCGGCCGACCGCGCGCCCGGTTCACCCGCACCGCCGGCACACAGACTGTGGTTGAGCGCGTCAGCCGAGTCACGCAGACGGAGCTGCTGCAGCTAACGCCGGCGTCACGCACCGTGACGCGTCATGGCTCTCCGGCGCCCAGTGACGCGCTGACGGAACTGCTGGATGCTTCCTCACCTCCTCCAGTGTCGATGCAGACGCGGCTAGACGCGGCACTGGGTGCCCTGCCGCAGGGCGCAGGTGTGGATGTTCAGAGTCAGGTGGATATGGTGCCCGAGGCGGAGGCTAAGGAGAGTCAGACGCACGGCCGTGACGTGATCTCGCCCGCCGATCGGCTGACGCGCAGCTTCAACGGCGCCGACGAGAGCCTGCACGAGCTGATCGTGCGCCCCGAGCGGCCCGGTCGCGTGCGGCGGCGTGACGCCGGGGTGCAGACTGAGAACGACCTGGTCACCGACGAGTCACCCGAGTTTGCTGCCGTGCCGCCGCCCTTCAAGAAGGCACAGCTGATCGGCGACATGTCCATCTTCGATATGGTGGACAGCTGGGTGTTGGACACGCCGCCAAAACTGGCGTCTGAGCTGACACAACTAGCTCTGCACCTCGCGCAGCCATGTCGAGACGACGAACTCCTCAAGGCACGCGCCGCCTTCTTCTGGATCGTGAACAACATCCGGTTCGACTGGAGCCTGCTGGACAGCAAGCTGGACGCGACGGGCGCGCTGCGGCGCCGCGCCGGCGTCTGTCGGCAGTACGTGCTGCTCTTTAGCGAGCTCTGTGAACTGATGGGTGTCCGCTCTAAGCGGCTGCATGGCTTCGCCAAGAACCACGACTACAAGCCGGGCCACCAGTTCCGGCAGGCGGAGGACGCGACGCACGCCTGGAACGCGGTGTTTGTGCGGGGCTCCTGGCGGCTGGTGGACTGCACGTGGGGAGCAGGTTAGTTACAGAGGCGGGAACAGGAGGTGGTCCTCTCCTGGGCATGGGGTGCATGGGGGACTTGGGGAGCAGATCTGGTCAGTTCCAGGATTGTATAACATGAGGTGCATGTGAGGGGGATGTAACTATTCATTCGAGTTATTCAGCTTCTCAACACCGCGGATAGTATATTATAAATGTGTTGCAATTGCATCGTCAACCTGAATGCACCCTGAATTGAATAAGTCATAAGATGCTCGTTAGGCATTGCATTGATCACTTCTGCAGCAAGACACAAACTTAACACGTCATGCTGGGTACTTACAAGGAGAGAAGCATTGCAATGTATGTGATGCACACCACAACTATCGTCCGAACTAGAGGTGGCAAAAGACGAAAATTTTGGGAACCAGACTCGAACCAGACCCGGCTGGACATTTCTGGAACCAGTCGGACCCGAACCTAGTTGGAATCGGAACCAGTTGGACCCGTTCCCCAAATCAATTAATACATACTACTTGAAGGTATCATTAGTTGCATCATGTAAAACAGCCTATTTCCTACTGGAAATACTCATGAGCTACTGTGTGCAAAGAAAGATTCACTTCATTCACTTCATATTTTGCAATGATGTGTAGTGTGCAAGATGTATAGTTTATGGTAGGACCCGGTTGGACCCGTTAGAAAATTTCCAGGAACCGGTCTGGACCCATATGGGTCCAGACTGGTTCTTTGGACCGGGTCCTCGGGTCCACATTTTGCCACCTCTAGTCCGAACTGGCTGAACAGATGCGTTATACATAATGCATAGGTTGAAGCTGAAGACCAAAACATTCGGTGTTTTGGACCATCAAACTATGTCCATGCTTGGTTGCAAGAGCTCGATAATGTATTGAAACTTCGGCATAGTTAAAAATGCGTATTTTACAATTACGAATCACTGAGAAGCGAACTTTACAGGCCCATAACATCCAAGACAATGACTGACCAGTGATCAAAAGATCGGAAAATGCCACACCAACGAGTAAGAAGTTCTGACTCGCCCCGAATGAGGTATTCATTGCCACCGTGCAATGCGCCTGTTCCCCTGGGCCTGGGCGTGGCTGAGACCTTGGCGGCGTGGGCTGCCCGCCGCTGCACGGTCTGCAGTCTTACCCGCTGACCATGGGACTGGGGGTAACCGGTGACGCCACGGCGACGGCCACCGTCCGCAGGCCGCAAACTGCCCCCCGCTGTGGTAGTAAAGAGTTGTGCGGCGGAGCAGCAATCTTTCCCTGAAAATATCGCCATTTTGCGCAGATTTCGATATCAGACGCTCACAATGTCAACATCATTACGTCAATAGCGGTGCTTGGTGGCCTTGTGTTTGAACGCACACTGGAAAAACCTGATCGCAGATAAACCACAACATAGCACCAAACCACCGTAGCAAACCACCAAACCACCGTAAATGGTAAATTGAGCAGAAGGTAAATGGAACAGATGGCGGGTATCCTTATACAAAATAAATAAGCAAGTCACCACGCTTTACCAAGAATCATGCTGCTTGCTTGCAAATTTCAGCTAAGTACCACTAAAAGAATTCTTTATGGAAAACTCACAGCCTTTTCAGTCTCCATGCAATGCAAACACATCGATGAACAAAATATATGCTCCGGTCTCCATGCAACATACCTATTGATGAGCAGAATACATGGATAAAATATACACATACACAGACACATAGTGTTATATCATAGATGAGCGGGAAGGACAAATATGTCAGGCTATATACCATAATCGCCCCGTGTCCGGCTGCTCCCAGAGGCGCAGTTTATGCGAGCTCGGGACCTGCAAGCGTTCATTTCCCTCTCTGTTGCGTGTATAACCAGTCAGCCGGCTATTGGAGCGGTACGGCATAATGACAGTGAATAGGCTACTAGTACCGGCAGTCGTGGAAAATGGCACTGCACGACCAATTATGTGACAAAAGGTAAAGGAAGAATAATGATGCAACGATGACAGCAGGTGATGAATGATGATACAAAAAAAAAAACGACAGAAGAAACCGATGCTGCTTATATTATACATCCCGCGCCGGTCTAAATTTATAATGTAGGGGGTTTAGCCAGCTTAGCATTTTTGTTTCTATTAGCATCTTATCGCGCAGAAGGCATTGAACACCAGCATCAATGCAACAAATTCAACGTCATATAACTTGACCAAACTCCATCGCACATGGAGGAGGGAAGTCTACGATCGCAACGATCCTATAAGGACACGGAAGCTTCTCAGCTCTCTGACTATGTGCCAGACCCGTCTGACCCCAAAGGCGCCACATACACCGCTGCAGTGCGACCCAAAAGACCCCCCCTCCAGACTCCTCGGTCAGCAAAGCGACAGGCTGGCTCAGTGCGGCATAGAGCGCTCGCGTGTCGCATAGCGCCGATATAGGCTACACCGAGGCCGTGAGCAAATAGTCGGTCCGTACTGCCGCCCGACGGAGGGCTACCGACGATCCACATACAAGGACCGACGGTACCGATGCGACGGTGCCGACGGTGCGCCTTGCACCCGTCCCCGTCGCCGTCGACGACACCGGCCGCGACTGTTTAATATGCGTATCGATTGCAGTCGTCGCAAGGTCCGACGGTCAGTGAGGTTCTATCGTGTCGTTAGACGCCGTTATACGACGTGACAGAGTGACCGTTGGTAAATGGTCACTCGCTGCTCGCCGGTCGTTCAGGGTTGCTCAGCTGGAAGGCGGGACTAGAAAGAAAAGGATGGTATGGGAAGGGATGGAAAGGGATGGGAAAGACGGGAACGAACGGACGGACGGACGAAAAGGTGGGACGAATGGACCAGGGTATATTGAGTGAAGATGGGACGGGACAGAAAGGGATAGATGGGACAGGAAGTGATAGATTGAGACGGGACGGAAACGGATGGGGCTGACCCCTTGGCGTCTGGCTGCTTCTGCAAGACAGGTGCACTCTTGCCGGCCGGATGGGAGATTGTATGATAAATGGACCAATGATCTATCAATTCGATGAATGATGTACCATTGGTTTGCGCTGTATTGCGCTGGCTTTCTTGATCAGGCACACTGGGGACAACAATAGGCAGTAGAAATTGATGGAATCAATTCACAGTGTTTTCAATGGCAAGCTTCGATCTTGCATTTTAGTTCCAGCCAGGATGTGCCGGGAAATAATACAAAAATTATCTGCACTGGTTCAGAAACCACTTTTCTTCCGATTCAGACCAGGTTGTTTCATATTTATATTATTCTACAATTAACATAGCTCAACTGCTCGCTAAAAGCCTAGAAAAAAAGATAAACAACAATGCCTGATGGATGATTTTAACATCACAACGATACTGAGTCAGCTGCCGGAAATGAGAAAATATATAATTTTTTGAAGCCCCAGTTCGTCGTCAACACTAAACCGAGAATCGAGGACATCAGACCTTTGACCTCAGACATCAGCCCAGTATTTCGCTGTGTGATGTCACGGCTCCGGGCCCCTGCGAGCCGTCTCCACTAGCGTCACCTCTTTATAGATAGATATCCATAGCTGGGCATACCACTTGCTGACCTCCACTTGCATCAGCCACGGCACTGGACGATGGTCGGCTATTTTGGCCACTCATACAGGCAAGTGCCAGCAGTCACATAGAGCGTCAATGGTGATGAATGATGGCCAAACGACCCGTCGGACCGTCCCACAGTGCGTCATTGCACACGACCGTGAGTGATGACCCGAAGTGCGGCGGCCGGCGAGTGAGCCGACTGGCCGCGACGTCAGGAGCAGCTGATTAGACATGGTCGAACGAACGGCATTGGTGCTCGGCGGCCCAGTGTGCATAAGCCACGGGGTTTCAATGACAGGATTTTTTTTTCATAAATGCATGATTGTCCATTGTTCAAGGATGCCCTTCGTATTCAAAGTTGACACGTACGTCACACAATATTGTTATGCCATTATTTCACGAGTCGATGGATCAAAAACATAAGGGAAAATATAGATCATAACAAAATTCCGTTAACCATAACGGATCAATATTCCAGTCTTCATGCACAATTACGTAGAAGTTCGAATGAATTACAAAATAAACGTCAACTAAAAGAAAAAAACACATTTATAAGTACGAGCAGTTCAGGCGAGGAAGACCCGCCGTTCCGGATCTGGCGCCATGTCCTGCTCTCATTCCGTCCTTGCGGTTTCCGTCGCCCGTTGCCTCAGTTCCTGTTGCTAATTACCTCATTGTGTGGTTTACAGTTGGCTGGCAATGCCACCGGCCACCAGAGCCGCGGCGGCTAGCTCAGTCATGGGCCGTGGTGAACGGTGACAGAGAGCAATACCAGCAAGGTCCCGCCAACTTGAATGTTGAACCACATAGTTACTTGGCACACACCAAGCAGCACGTGCATTAAAATAGATTGATTGATATCTAAAATTGTATCAAAAGGAAGGTACCATTCTTGGGTACCATTCACCTTCCAGTTCCAACACCTCGTTTATACTTGTTTATAGTCACATTGTTTATAACACAAGACTAAAATTGTATATGTCACAAAATTGAGTGATGAATCAATTTACAACATTTTATAATCGCCTGGAAATGATTAACACATGATTCATGAAGTCATTTCTGTGGTATTGTGGAAGTTGCCCGCAGGCAACTTCCGACCGAGTAAACTTTCTGCCAAAAGTGGAGCATGTGGGCCACCGAGGAGCGTCCTTGAGGATGCACCAAATAATGTGCAATGTGACCTTGGTGCAGAAGGCTGCATTCCAAAGGGCTAATGGTTGAAGCTTCTGCAAGGAACAGCTTTGCGCTAGGCATCTATTATACAGCCCGCCCCTGACCTTCAGTTCAAGGACGGGTAAGACAATAAAGCTAAGGCAAACCAAAAGATCCCATTTGCTTGATGGACACAAATAATGTGTAACTAAATGCATGTGCGAATAGGCACTCATGGCAGTGCTGAAATACGCTACGCTACGATAGCTTGATCATTGGTATCCCCGGCATCCATGTAACGTTCCACAAAACTTCACGAAATAAAAAATCCGTGAAACTACAGTTATTACTACTGAATAAAAATTAACGGTCAGGAATCTCAGGTTGAGCTCATTCCCAAGTCAACTGCATTTCAACCTCGGTGGCTGATCGGATGTTTAAGGGTTGGGTTTGGGGTAGAGGCCGAGGGACTTGGGCCTGAGGGCTTGACAGGGGTCTGAGAATTTGACGGAGATGTGAAATTTGACTAAGGGCTACCGTGATTCCCCGAAAGCCACTGGACTGTGTGGAGCTATGAGGGTCTGACAGAGGGCTTGGAGTTTTTGGACTGAGGGATGAGGGCTGGAGGGATGGCTGAGAGTTGAAGAAATGACTGGAGTTTGACAGAGGGCGGAGGAATCGATCCGGATCTGAACTCTGAAACACAGCGGCTGGTCAACATGTTCGGAAGGTCCCAACACTTACTCCCCGTACTGCACGGGCTATTCCCACAAAGCGGCGCTGAACAAATGTCACCGATTGATCCGGTAAACCAAACACCCAGTGGCCTGTGTCGCATAGGTTACAGGTCGAGCTCAGTGGCGGTGGATAGTGGAACTGCAGCCCCTGAGCAGGAGGGAGGCAAAGTTGTTCCCGATGTTGCCCATATGTATATTTATAAATCCTAATGGGTTGTAGACGCTTCATCAGGTGGTGGTCGGTGGTCGGTGGACCATGATCATGGACCGGCGCGGCGCCCGGATCATGGACCCCATGGTACTTCTGTCGTGCTGCTTCCTCGAGGGATGGTGTGACATGTATGTCGTCACACCACCGTCGGGTTCCCCTGGATCACGTTGTTATCATGTGTTCCTGGATGACGACAACTGTTCCTGGATGACGACAACATATTCCTTTTACTGGTGTAGTTGAGTCCCATTTGAGACATTGGATGTCTATGCACACATTCAACACGATCGTTGATCCAAGACGTGAAGTGAAGGATGTAAAAGATAAAAGATCCACTTTTATTATACATGCACGCCTGACTGATCTTTCAATAACTTCACAAGCACTGCAAGCATAAAGTCAAGCAATGCACGATAAACATTACGCAACGCAGCAGTTGAGCTGTGACTGTTGCTATGCTTTGCAATTTTATCGACACATATTTGGGATATCATTAAAGATAAATCAGCTAAACGTGTCGTAGATACAAATTCGTAAGTGCTTAACAGTTAACATAGCATAATTGGCATCATTTGCCGACCAACTAGTTCATTTTGTACAATAATTGTGCAACAGAGGTACTACATAGAATACAAATTATGGTCATAGGCACAATAACCCCTCACGTTCGCCGACGTGGCAATTTATCACTATATCAGCCCAAAGGAGTGACTTGCAAGGGTCCCACCACGGCTTTTTGGTTAGTTAGTTGGGGGTGGGGGCAGCTGACCAACTAGCGGGGGCGATGCCCTGGGGCGAGGTGGTCTATTTTGTGCTCCTGGTCAGCGTATAGCATTTAGTGGTATTCAGGCCACCGAAAAATCGCACAAGTTCTTCGCAAATTTATAAGGTCAGGTCAAAGTGATAACCACAAACGGTTCATCAAGGCTGGGTCACACGCCCCAAACTGTGCAACTTTCAACAAATCAACTCGACGAATAGGTAACCTATGATAAGAGAGATAAGTAAAAGATATAGAAAGATCCGACTGATGTAAACCAGGGGCTTAAACCGGCCGGGACCGGGGGGTAATCCCAACCACCGCAGCCCGGGGGGGGGGGGCGTTTATCGCCCCCTGTCTAACTCCGTAAATAAGGGAGCTACGGAAACAAAAGCGATACCAAACGAAAGGCACTTGCGAGAAGATTCTAAAGCACCCAAAATTTTTGACCTCAGGTCAATTTTCAAGGTCAGAGTTCAAGGTCAAAGGCAAAAACCGGCACATGTGTAGTGATCTCAAAGTAAGCGTTCCAGAGGAAGCCAGGATGCATAAAACCGGCAAAATTGGGTGTCAAACAAAAGAAGAGGATCTGAGGATTCCGAAAATGTGCCCAGATCAAGTTCAAGGTCACGCTCAAAATTGACCTCAAACTTTGCACTTTTTCGTACATCTTGCGTGCTAACTTCCAAGATGTTTTGAAATGTTTTGAGGCTTATCAGTTTCCTATTTGAGGTTCATCTTAAGATACGAGGCTGCTCAAAGGTCAAAGTCACAGAAGAGTATCCTTGCTAGAGGCTTTTTCACTGATTCAAGTTAGTAATAATAGATAAGACAATTTTGCCATCCGGAAGCTCTGAATGAAGACTTAGAGGAAAATAGATGCCAGATTCGTGATCAGCGAGTACAAATCCATCATAAACGACCTTTCATGTGTCAAGGTCAGCCAAAGGAGGCGTTCCATGACAAATCGACAAGTGCCCTGCACCCTCACATCTCAACTTTTGATGATAATGAGTATACAGCTTTATCATTTAGGTCATTCGAGGTCACATGAGGTCAACATAAAACTTGACCTTTTCCAAACAAAATATACATCATTCGACGCGGCTTGACCAGGTGAATGCGATGGTACCACTGCCGTAGCTCTAGGACCATTTTTATCGAAGTTATTTGCAAAAAAAAAAACTAAAACCACATTTCGGGGTCGTTGACCTGACCTCTGACCTCAGGTCGCCAAAATTATTTTTCTATTTTTGTCTAGGTCAAACGCTACACAACCGTGCTCGTAATTTGTTTTTATCTCTAAAACTCTTTTCAGCAGCTATTTGAAGTTCGCGTCTGTGACGCCGAAGTTTGCCGTGCAGGAGTCTAGAAAAATCGACCCTGTGACGTCATCAAAGAGACTAGGTCCAAATTTTTTACTTCAGAAGATGTCAAATTGATGGGAAAAAGGTACTGAAAGTTTCGCTTTCCTATCCCTAGGCGTTCGGGAGCTATCGCAAATATTCGCCAGGAGGGGTCTAAAAACGCCCCCCGGGCCCGCGAGGGTTAATAGTGATGCTGCTGCAACAGTTTCCCCAATAACACGCTAGGTAAAACGAAGGCCACAGTATGTGCGTCATTAGATGACCTCATGCGACCTCATGCGCTGCTCAGCCTCACTTGCGATAGACTTAAAAACGATTAACACAAACAAAAACCTCGCTTTTTGGCAGCTTTGGCAGCAAGCTAATGAGAAAGCCATCGAATAACCTAAAAAAGTCTGCAGTCAGCAGGCCGATAACTTCACACTTCGTATTTTTTCGGATGCACTTTTTCAAATGAAACTAATTCAACGCTGCGGGTATGCTGAGAGGACAACAAGAAGATATTGAGTTGATTAAGTCACGGCGGCACAAAAGACGGTGCATTAGTTGATGACTGATTTATAAGTGATTACTGCAGCGCCCGAGCCAATCCGGGGCATGGATACCATTCGGTGGCACAGGCTATCGCCACTCAGATGCACAAATGGTCACAACGGAGGATCGTGCTCCTTTGAACTGCCCCTTGCCTGACTGGGTAGTTAGATTATGGAAAGGTCGCCGGCTATTGGTTATAATCCAAAAGGTACGCCGATCGTGCGTTTCCTCAATGCCAGCACGCACGGCACGTGCTGCTATGAGCCTGGTCTGTGTGCGCGTGTGCACGTGCTGACTGGCGCTCACTGTTCCCCTCAGGTTTCACCGACGCCACGGGCCAGTTCGTGCCACGTGTCAACGAGTTCTTCTTCCTGGCGGACCCTGAGGACCTCAGCTGGACCCACTTTCCCTTCGACGAGAACGAGAGGGACTATGACCGGTGAGTGATGAGATGTGGGCCGGGGGGCTACACCTTTCGGACAGGGTGTAGCTGGGTCGAGGGCGGACAGGGGTCAGGGCCTTGAGGCACTTTTTGAAGCAAGTATAGCCCATCAGCCACTCTTTGATCAGCCATGCGAGTGTGGCCAATGGGCAGTATGACCATCAACAAAAAACGATGTCAAAATATAATTTCGCTTGCAAATGCTATCAAATTGTTCGAAGGTTCTTATACGATAACTATATCACGATGAAAAGCCTGAAAGGGGGAAGCGTAACTTCCTTTTCCAGTATGACACGTTGGCCATGCAAAGCAATGGAAAACACACTGCAGCTGTTGCCAGAGCACAAAATGAAAAAGATGCTGAGCCTGATTTAGAGGACTACCTGAGGGAGTCAGTTTTTCTGGAGTTGGTAAACGGTGCCGTCTAATTCAACAGCAATGTGTACCACCTCCAGGTTCGTCTCAACCAGCGTGAAAATTATTATATTACCTAGCTTATTATAGTGTATGTTACGGGACAGCATGGATTAGAGATTTCCATAGAGTAAATACTTCATCCATGGGGACAGGGAAGACGAGCGAGCGTTATATGACGCATAATAGACCAACCGATTCCACATCTATTTTTTGTGTGAGGAAAATAAAGTATTCTTGCCGGTCAGTGGCAAAAACCACTCGGACCATTCATATAACATTGCCGCATAATGTTAATAAGCGTATTGATCAGTATCGCTGACCATATCCAGGTGCGGTCCTTGACCTTTTGGCTGCGGTTGTCGCGGAGTGTGGGCCGTTAATTGTGACCTGGCGTGGCATTCACGGTGGGTCGTGGGTCGGGGTCGTGACGTGCCGGTCATTGTTGACGTGGCCACTGCGGCCGGATTGGAACGAGGTAATGACGTCTACCCGTCGCCCCCAGTTCCAGCGCACCAGTCCGTCAGCGCCCACTTCTGCTCGTCAAATCAGTCCTGATCACTCTTTCAGTCATAGATAACATGATCATTGATCAGCCTCTATTTCGTGTGTATTTTATGTACACACAGGAGTGTATGTCTCACACAGGAGTAAATTGGAATGCATTTTATGGATCGGATACCAGCCCATATAGCCCCCAGCCATAGTTTTTAGATCCCAGAGCTTTTGACGTTTAGCCAAGCATGCAACGTACCAGGCACTGGCTTTATACAGTGCCACGGAATGCGTCTGAGCTCCATGGTTTATGGTATAAAGTGTCATGTGACAAATCGGGCCCTTCTATCTCAGCTCGACTGCGAATTTATAAATAGTCGAGCAAAGGAGCGCAGCAGGTTCTTTCCAATATCACACATCGAGCACCGATTCAGCCCTCACTGAAACCGCTTCGCTGGCTAACGTGTTTCCACAAATAAGGGTAGAAAATGAGCAATAGTTCACCGAACATTTACACCGAACCCGGAAACTGGTGGATTCTGAGGTCAGATAAAGTGTGAAGTGCGGCTAGTGAACTGTTTCACGGTCGGCTCAGACGGAAGCTGCGCGATCGTTCAACACACCGCCGTCAGCCGGCGGCGACTGTTGAACGCGGAATTACGCCTGGCGACCGCCCAAGGCTGCGGCGGGGGGGGGGGGGGGACGGTGCCGGTCGCTACTCGCTAGCTCATGGACCAGTGACCGCCACTGCAGACCGCAGACCACCCAAACTCGGCCCAGCGGACCTGAGCCCCTGTCCGGCCCGGCGGACCAGCCCCGCCCGACGGACCATCTCTACCACCTCTACCTCGCCTGTAAACTTTCCTGACAGACCACCCCTCTCCCGACGGACCATTCCTTCCTGGTAGAGCACCGCCCCTCCCGACAACTAGTGGCCTCAGCTCGTTATATATGTACTCGTACGCAGTACGAGCTGAGACCACGGGCCATCCCCTCCGCCCAGTATCCGGCAGCCCCTGGGCCAGTCACCCCTCCCCCTCCCAATTGAACCACGCTGGCACGTGCAGCCAGCCGTGAGTACTGCCGTATGTTGTCCGACCTGACACGCCCGTCGCCTTCACACAATCACGGCCGCTGATTGGAGATAATCGGGATAAATTGGATAATCAGTCTCCGAGACCATTCGATAGGTGACTTGCTAATAATAGCCGGCCTTGCAACTTCGTTTTGTTGTAAATTAGTGCCCACCATGATGTCATACGATGCGTTGCGGAATATATCCTGTCATGGGGTTCAGTTTAATCATTTTCAGTGGTGTTTTCCTGTCAGTTTTCGAATGCGATTTATTGTTTGGCAAAAACATGTATTGGCTCTGTATTTCATGGTTTCCTTGCACGTTGACTTGATAAAGGATATAAGTGTGGGGAAACAAAGCCAACTACATAACGAGACGTAAATTCGTATTTGATTCACGCCGTTGTTCGACCTTATTCCAACAAATGGCGTTTTCCTAGCTTCTTGCATGGGTCTCATAAGCTTTGTTTCAAAGTGCTGAATAAAGTTTCGAGGAGAACATTCCATCTCTGATATTTTATTTTGTCTATATTTGAGTATCTTCAAAAGGCAAAAAAATGTAGTCATGGGAAGAATTATAAGCTATCAAATAGTGAGGTAATTTCAAAGTTGCAAGGATGAACAAATCGTAATGACGCTCTGCCTCCAAGTGGACAGCCGACTTGTGCCTCTACATACGATATTATTTAGCACATATCTCTTCGGCTTTATACCAGCATACATCTGACAAGCCTTGACCGGTTCGGACTCTACTCTCTAATGACTTTCGAGTGACGGGCTTGCAGTGTATCATTTTTTTTTTAATAGCTCCTGCTGAATGTAGAATGGTGACGTGCCTTGCCTTCTCATGACTGACACCATGTCTTTCCATCGTCTTCACTCACAGGAAAACATTCATTTTATATGAGCCGAGCTTCCATCGAGTACTGCCCTGAACCTGTGCAAAGCAGTCGGCTAATGATCTTGTTTGGGTCATTCGCGACACATTCCACGGGTCACCAAATATAGGTAATTGGGTCAAGGACAGCAAGCCAGTCATTGAGTTATGTATTTCGTCCAATGTGTGTCAGCTTCCTCAAATACTTGGCACGCTGGTACTAAAATAATGATATGATATGAATATGTACTGCGTTTCGTTTAGAAAGAAAACAAATTAAATGAGTTAGATGCTGCTATACCGCCTTTGTTTGAGATCCCCCAGCAACACGGTCCAATTCATATGAAAGTGGTGGCATTTCTGACCACATCAGCTCCTTCGAACACATCATTGGCGCCCAATTATTGATATTCCAGTCAGTTAGCACTCGGCACCACCCTATTTCACATAAGTCCAGTAGGATAAATGACAACGTTATTGTTATCATTTACCCTAACTGTCTTGGATATTCTACATAAGTCCAGTAATACCGTCCAGGCCTGCAAAACCCCCGCCCAGCAGGCAGTGGCGGATCCAAGGGGGGGTCACATGGGTCATGCCCCCCCCCCTTGAGGCCCGGAAGCCCAAAGACCTGCCAGGGGCACCACCGGCCTATCAGGGGTATCACAGTCCTGACAGAGGCACCACAGGACCGCCAGGGGCACCACAGGCCTAGCAGGGACACCACGGGCCTGGTGCCCCTGGGCCCTGACAGGACTGTAACGCCCCTGACAAGCCTGAAGTGTCCCCGGCAGGCACGTGGTGCCCCTGACAGGCCTGAGGCGCCCCTGCAAGGCCGGTGGTGCCCCTGGCAGGCCTGTGGTGCCCCTGACAGGCCAGTGGTGCCCTTGGCAGGCCTCTGGTGCCCCTGACAGGCTTGCGGTGCCCTTGGAAGGACTGTGGTGTCCCTGGGCCCTGACAAGCCTGAGGTGCCCCTGACAGGCCCGTGGTGCCCTTGTTAGGCCTGTGGTGCCCCTGGCAGGCCGCTGGTACCCCTGCGCCCGGAGAGAACTGGTGCCCCTGAAAAGTCTGAAGTGTCCTCGGCAGGCCCGTGGTGCCCCTGACAGGCCCCTGCGAGGTCGGTGGTGCTCCTGGCAGGCCTCTGGTGCCCCTGGCAGGTCTGTGGTGCCCCTTGCAGGCCTGTGTTGACTGGTGCCCCTGCTAGGTCGCTGGTGCCCCTCACAGACCTGTGGTGCCCCTGGGCCTTGACAAGCCTGAGATGCCTGGCTATGACAGGCTCGTGGTGCCCCTGATAGACCAGTGGTGCCCTTGCTAGGCCTGTAGTGCCCCTGGCAGGCCTCTGGTGCCCCTGACAGGCCCAAGGTGCCCCTGCGAGGCCGGCGGTGCCCCTGGCAGACCTCTGGTGCCCCTGGCAGGTCTGTGGTGCCCCTGGCAGGTCTGTGGCGCCCCTGGCAGACCTGTGTTGACTGGTGCCCCTGCTAGGTCGCTGGTGCCCCTCACAGACCTGTGGTGCCTCTGGGCCTTGACAAGCCTGAGATGCCTTGCTATGACAGGCTCGTGGTGCCCCTGATAGACCAGTGGTGCCCTTGCTAGGCCTGTAGTGCCCCTGGCAGGCCTCTGGTGCCCCTGGAAGGACTGTGGTGCCCCTGCCCCTAGGGGTGCTCATGGGCCCAACAAGCCCGTTGTGCCCCTGACAGGCCTGTAGTGTCCTTGCTAGGCCTGTGGTGCCCCTGCTTCCTGGCGGGCCTGTGGCGCCCCTACAAGGCCGTAGGTGCCCCTGACAGGTTTGTGGTGTCCCTGGAAGGACTTTGGTGCCCCTGACAAGCCTGAAGTGTCAAGGACAGACCCTTTAGACGCCAGGGTCAAGTTCGTCGGACTGACAACGATTCGCTTACCTGATAACGTTCCTGGTAAATACTCACTACTCAGCGTCCACAACATATATATGTTACGGGCCATATGCTAACTTGGGCAGTATGCAAACTACCCGGGCAGTATGCAAACTACCCAACAGCCCGGGCAGTATGCATACCACCCGGGTAGTATGCATACTACCCGACCCCTTGGGCAGTATGCATACCGCCCAAAAGCTTGGGCAGTTTGCATACTGCCCGCTTCTTGTATTGAAGTTGTGTATTCCATGTCCATTTTCAAAATATTAATGACTATCTAAGTAACGTAAGTCAACCGCGAAGTCTTTTTGCCGTCAAACGTGATTTATCGATTGAAGGGTAGAGTAACGATTGGAATATAAAGACTTAAAATTATTTTCCCAGAATTTTATTGTTAATTAGCCGGCGGCCAACAAGTCATTTTCATCTGAAATGACGACAGATCTATAGTGTCATCACTCGATTTGGTTTGGCACCTGGATCTGTAGAGGGCGTTAATATAGTTTCAATAGCTAATGTTGCATGAAACCATTTACACGTAAGACGTCACAAATTATTATGGTCAGGTTACCAGGTCAGAGGCCAGTTTTACCAACAGAAAAATAGCCGCCTGCCGGATTTTTTGTCTAAAGACCGCTTCACATATGTTAACACGCGCAGTGGAAGGGGGGGGGGGCGGATTTCGCCCACCCCTCCTGTTTTTCGCCAATAACTCGCGCCGCAAACATGATATCAATGTGAAATTTTGGCTACCTGTCCAGAATTGAACTGCGGATCTTCTCGTGCAAGAAATAAAAAAATCGGTTCACAACTTTTCTAGTAATAGCGGTGTAAAGTCAAACATCCTGCCGCCGCGGCGGCGCGGCGGCGCGGCGGCCGGCGCTAGCCGTTACGCGCCGCCTGAATTGTAGACTGTGCCGGGGCGGGACGGTTCCGTCTTTACATCGCGCTCCTTACCGCTGATTACATTCGATTCGCGTCAATTTTTGTGAGAAGACTAAGAAATGTACAGGCAATCTTATGGTCAAAGAATTTTGAAAATCGGCCGGTAACAACTTGAGTTATGAGTGTGTAAACACAAAATTGTGATTGCCGCGTTTCCCGCGTCCGCCGATCCCGCTTCAGCCGGCGACATCTTACGCTTAGCAGGCTTCTAACTGCCATATTTATCGTTGGATTAACAAGAAATTCATCATACATACTCACAAATGTATGTTCTTTCGTATAGTGAAAGAAAAAAGAAAATCGGCCGGTAACTTTTTGAGTTATCGGCGTGTAAGCGCAAAAAAGTCGCTAATATGGCAGATTTGACCACTTTTGACCTCATTTGACCTTGAAGATATTGACCTAGGGTCATGAAATTCGCACACAACAGAGTTCACCTGGGCCCCCAACTACCCTCCAAATTTCGTCTTTCTAGCTCCAGTGGGAGCTGAGATCTTAGGGGGGGGGGCGACATCCGCCCCCCTTCCACTGGGCGTAGTACTCGCAACCCTTCCACTGCGCGTGTTAACGGTAAAGCCCTATCCGCTTACGTGGTCATCGCGGTTACGCGCCGTATGTGAAGCGGTCTTTGGACAAAAAATTCCGGCAGACGGCTATTTTTCTGTTGGTAAAACTGGTGACCTTGACCTCAGATCAAATTTTAAGCTTAGATCAACTTTGAGTGCTTATTCCAGAAACCGCTAAAAGAGCTATCGAATACACTGAATTATGGGCAATTTTGTAAAAAAAAAAAATGAAAAAGGGGAAATTTAACCTTTGATGACCTCTGGTGCCCTATTCTTTGACCTGAGGCCAGTTTTAGCAACAGAAAAATAGCCGTCTGCTGGAATTTTTTGCCTGAAGACCGCTTCACATACGGAACGTAAACGCGATGGGCACATAAGCGGATAGGGCTTTACCGTTAACGCTCCGTATGTGAAGCCGTCTTGAGGCGAGAAATTGCAGCAGGCGTCTATTTTTATGTTGGTAAAATTGGCCTCTGACCTAAAAAAGTGACTAGAGTCATGATTTTCGTCATGATTTTTTACGCTATTTCGAATGCCGGTTACCGCATCTTACGTGCCGCTTACTCCTGTGCCGCTAAGTGGCACAGGAGCCGAGCAGGAGTGTTCAATTCCCCCCCCCCCCCACAGCCCGGCACGGCTGGCGCCGAGCACCGCCCCGGCGCGGGTTAAAGCGTCTGTCATTGACATGTATATGCAAGCTATTGCATTAACTAGTCTCACGAGCCACGGTCAGCATATTGCCCGAGTAAACATCTTGCCCGTGAGCTGAAAGGTGGGTAGTATGCATACTACCCGGGCAGTATGCAAACTTCCCGGGCGGTATGCATACTGCCCAAGGGGTCGGGTAGTATGCATACTACCCGGGCGGTATGCATACTGCCCGGGCTGTTGGGTAGTTTGCATACTGCCCGGGTAGTTTGCATACTGCCCAAGTTAGCATATGACCCGTAACATATACACGTAGCACATTCATATATACTTGCTTACAATTGGTAAATGTGGTTGTGGCTAAGAGTTAAGATACTGACTAAAAATAAAAAAATAAAAATAAAAAACTGAAAATGGGGGCACCACCAAAATGAAGTGGACGAAATCCGTTGAGTTTTTAATTTTGGGTATAGGTAGGGGCACCACTTCGATTCATGACCCTCCCCTTGCAGTTTTCCTGGATCCGCCCCTGCCAGCAGGGCTGTCCCAGTTAACGGCACCAAAACAATGCCACCCTTCCCAATGAGTCCCCGACCCAGCTCCGTCGCCCTAATCTGTCAACTTTCTGCGCAATAGCGCCGTCCTACTCTGTGAAATCCCGACTTAATACTACGCCGTACTCTACTCTTGTAAACCCCCGGCCCAGCGTGCCGCCCTGGGCTACATACTTCTCTATTCTCTCTATATAATAGTATGTGACAGGGCCAACCAGTATCGGTCTTAGTCAACCCCGGCTGATTAGTGCCGTTCTACTTTGTGAGTCCCCGGCTTGCTACGACGCCGTACCCTCCTCTGTGAAAACCCTACCCAGTGGGTCGCCTGCAGGACCAATCAGCACGGTCTTTATAGTTAGTTGAGCAGTTCCGCCCACTATGTAAGTCCCCGACTCTCGGACCGCCATACTCTGTGAATTCCCGGCCCGCAGACTTCCGTGCCGTCTATGTAGGTTCCCGTTCCGTTCCCCAGCATAAGCACACCGCCCGCAGCGTCTTGACCGCGGTTAGCTCCACTACACACCGGTCACGCCACGAGTCGTTTGAGTTGATCAGCCGCCATCAGTCGGGGTCGGCACGGCCGAGCACGCCCCTTCGGTACGGCCCGGCGGCACGGCCGGCCGTGCAATCGACCGGCCGGGTCACGGTGGGGGCCGACGACGGTGGGGGGGGGGGGTTGATTGTGGGGGGGGACTGGTGCACGGCCAAACATCAGCCTGATGAGCTGCGCCGTGACTGCGGCCCGGATGGCCACCCGAAATGTGCTCAGCGATGAATTTAATGCACTCGGTGATGAATGTGGTCCGCTCAAGTGATGAATTCGGCCAGGGCGCGGAGCTGACTTTGGTGGATGTTCGTGATATCGCGGTCGGGCAAAACGATGGCTAAATCTATAGCTATTATCACACAGCGTCTAGCTTACTATACACAATTTTTTACTCACGATAATAATTATAATTTGCGAAACTTTTCGTGGGTCAAATTCGGGTGCAGTTGCGCTTAGAGCTACTAACTACATATGTGGCCCACCCACGAGCCTTGCCACTGCACCGGCCAGATCACTCAAGCTTGAGTATAACTCATATACATATATAATTGTGCTGGACGCATGAATGTATAAGAATTTTTACTTGCCGTAACGCTAAATACAGCCTGGAGGGCCTGCAAAATACATTTGGATTTACCTTACAATGTTTACTTTTTCCCAGTGCATTCCTTTTCATTTCAATTGGCCCTATACCCCACACGGTCACTTTCAGAGACCGGTGCTTGTAACGCGACATAGCAAAACTGCTGTGCAACAATGACTGTCCCATTTCATAGTCATGCTCAAATCGGTGCTGATCTAGTTATCAAGCTTAGAGAGCAAAAATAAGATGAGTGACGATAAGAGCTTAGCGTCGTCCTCTCCTCGGCCTCATGGAATTGACTTAATGAGGTTAGAAAATACCACACGCGTGATCAGGGCCTTTTGAAGTTGTCTATTGTTTTCGGAAGAAACCCAGGTTCCGTTTGTGACTATAATGTCGATGTCACGTTTAGGTACGACGAAGCGCCAATTCATGAGTCGTTGAGCAGTTTCATTGATCGCCTCTGAGAATTCGGTCATGGTCATCAATGCTGAACGACTAACAACCAAGTAATATTGCTGTGTTACGTATAAAGGACAGGTGAGAACCACGTCTTCTCTGGATCTTAATTGAAACACGAATCACGACAGCCGACATGTAAAAGTTACGTGCTGTTATAAGGAGCACATAACGTGGCAGCTTGGAAGCCAATTCTTTGTGAGCCCGAGCCCCATTATCGATATGTCAACGTTTGGCCTCGTGTGCTGAGACCGATGCGTCAACTATGTGCCCTGCCCTCTGAGACATACGTCAGCATTGTGCACTGTCTGACCGATGACGATGCCGTCTGTTGTGCAGGTGGCAGCTGATCGTCATGCCACAGTCCTTGGAGGACTTCAACCGGCTGCCGAAGGTGACGCCCTGGTTCTTCATGAACGAGTTGCGCCTCAAACGGCTGTATGCTAGTCCGGTGTCGTTCAAACATCAGACCGAGATCGAGATCTTCTGCCAAGGACCCATCATGCGTTTCAAGTACAAGTTCTACTCAGTTAGTGAGGTAAGTGGAGCGGTCGAGATATTTTGAAACGAGCGCATTGATATCAATTGTATTTTCCGCAGTTGCTCGCTGTTAGAGATAGTTGACCATATGGTTGTTGATCGGACAGATTTGTAGTTCTCGGTCACAATAAGCATCAGTTCCCTCCAGGGTTGTGAGCATGATCGAGGTTAGCGCCTGCGACAGGGCGGACCGGGGCGGTCGGGGCGGGGAGGGTCGAACGGTAGCGGTTCCAGCCCCTCCTCCAGTCGGCTAGTCTCGCCGTGACACCGGCGCAGCGTGGCGCCAGCCGGTGAAATATTGATGGCCACCGCTCCAAACCGGGACGGCGCCGCCGATGTGGGCCAAAAGCCGCGCTGTCCGTCCCCCTCCCCCTCTCACCCTCCCCGAGGCCTTCACCGATTGTCCACTTGGCCTCACGCGACCGTCAGAGGCCATTTCATTCACCCGTGTCTGCAGTCAGACTCCACGTGTCCCTCGTATTTGGACGCAGACACCCGTGCGAAAGTTTGGAGGAGAGGGATAAGAATTTAGAATTAGACTACGTGTGGCCTGCGCCTATGGGTTCTTTGAACGTACAAGACCTGACCAGCGGCCAAAGTTCCTGTCTGGTCGCTGTGTGCCCCCAAGGCGGTGCTGCTCGCCCGACGTTCACATCCATCGAATTCCACCCGCTCGCGTCACCCGCTGGGTGTTAGTTTTTGTCCAATGGCACTCGGCTGCGTCCAGGGTCACCAAGGTCACACACCTCCCCTTTCCCATCGCGCCCACTGGCGATGGTCTGGTCACGTGAGAGGTTCATGGGTTCTACTGACCTGTAATGAGCGACAGACGTGGCACCAGCTGGAAACGGTGGCGACAGCGACGCACCTAAGAGACGCACTGAAGACTGGCAACGGTGTATGGGCCACGAACAGCGGCGCACTGGCGATGAACAGTGGCACATAAACGACAGCAACGGCGGGCGCATAAGAGACAAAGAGTGGTGCACAGGTGACAAACACCGGCGCATTAGAGGCTTACACCGACGCATAGGCGGCAGGCACCGCACACGGGCAACAAACCCAGAAGAGCAACGGAAACGGTCACGTGTCTCATCACGTGCATGTATTGTGCCAGCAGACAGTCAAGAGCCTTATTCTTCAGGCCAAGTGCATGCATGTTGAGGAGTTTGCATTCCAGCCCTGCTCAGCTGGAGTTCCATTTAAATAAAATTGCCATTCCGTTTGAGTTCACCCAGTCAGGAATGAGCTGCAAGCTGCAAAGTCGTCGCCGCCATAAAATGACCATGCAATGACGGATATATTTGCTCGGCACTCTAGCCTTCTTGCATGATGTATACAAATAAAGAGCAATATAGTCCATACTTGCGCCTGCACTGCTTGCATGTGAACGTCTAAACAGCCCAGCTACAGTCAGTCGGTGCTCCACAAAGTCCATCGATTAAAGGTAGTGTGCCACCTTTGAAAGATTTCCCATTTTATTTTTCCTAGGATAAGAAGCTTCTGTTTTTACCTAATATCGCAAAAAAATCAAAAATGGGCCTGGAATAGTGCCTTTTTCGCCTAAAAGTTTTTCGGTTTTTAGATATGTATAACAACTGTAGTGGGCTCACCTGCAAACAGGCGTCGGGCAACAATCGCGAATGCGGCGCACTTGTGACAATAAGCAAAGGTCATTATAGTGTTACGACCATACGACGTACGGGAATGAGTTATCAGCTGTCTAATCGTAGACAACACAATGTCGAGCCTTAAACTGTAAGCCCGTATTGGTATTGTTTCTTTTATTTGGCTTAAACTGTAAGCCCGTATTGGTATTGTTTCTTTTATTTGGCTGTCGAACATTATTTATGGTTTGAAATATGATTTTATGTAAAATAATTGATATGAAAAAGCCGTCTTATAAGTTATGACCCCATTTCACCACACGCAAGTGGCAGAAATGACAATGATCAGCTGACGCATTTTTCTTGGCCGAAGTCAGAGCGCGCGGCCCGACGCACCACGCGTATTTGGAAATTCCGACCTCGACGAGCATCAGAAGCCACCTAACAGGCGTGTTCGAAACCGCAGGAGATGATGATGAACGGGTTTATCGAAACTTGATTGGATGAGCATATCGGTAATAGCGATTTCAGTGTGTGCATTTATTGTTCATAGTGGTATGAAATGTGGTTGGGGTACGACCGACAACCCGTCGGGGCGAATTTCGCACTGGGGTACTCAAAATTTGAAGAATTTAAGACGTTTCCATGAGTTTTGAAGGTATGGATAAGTTCTAAAAATCCGGTTCTCCTTATCTGGGCCATTAACTCCATACGGTCCAAGAAAGCTGGCACACTACCTTTATTAACCCTGATATATGTGCCGTGATTGCGATACCGGCTGGCGGCGCGCATGTCACTGGTCTGACCGGGGTCACGACCTGTGCTGACGTCACGCCCCCTGGCGGGGGTCGGTCAGAGCGTGTCACACGGCTGCAGTGGCGTCATCACGGGCCGGCCGGTCACTGGCCACGGTCACGGGCGTCAGCGTCACGACATCACGGAGACGCTGCGTCACGGAGTCGCGGTTACAAGGGGTCATGGCGTGACCTCAGCTGGGCGTAACGCCGCCGTAACCGTCTAAACTCATGGTTGGAGATGCATGTGTGGTCTCCGACACAAGGTATCGAAGCTTGCCTGACCGGACCTGACGGCTGGATTGGACTCGGTGGCTGGATTTGATCAACCTTCACCGTGAGCGGAAGCTGCTTATCTGAGCTGACCTGACCTGACAGGTGGACCTGACCTCTCATATGGTAGACATTGATGGTCTGATCTGACCTGACCTGTTCCTGCTCGCAATTAGGCTCAGTGACCTGAGCTGAGCTGACCTGGCCTTACCCCTCCCCACAAGTAGAGAGCAGTGACCCGCTCTGACCACTGACCTGACCTGACCTTCCCGCAGTTGGAGCATGTGGTCTGACCTGACCTGATCTGATCTGATTTTATCTGATCTGATCTGACCTGACCTGACCTGACCTGACCTGACCTGACCTGACCTGACCTGGCCTGACCTGACCCGACCTGCCCACAGGTGGAGAGCAGTGATCTGACCTGACTCGACCTTCCCGCAGGTGGAGAGCAGTGAGCTGAACGGCTACGTGTTCTGCCAGCTACGGGGCGCTGACCGGCGGCAGGGCAGCTTCACCGTCCAACCACCGGAGACGGGCTCCTACTTCCTCAAGGTGTACGGCCGGCCGGAGGAGGACATCATGGACGACGAGACGCTGCCGCTCGACCACCTGGCCACCTTCCTGCTGCACTGCATCAAGGTGCGCTCCGACGCCGTCACGGCCAGCCCTCCCCCCCCCCCCCCACGGTCACGGTTTGACGCTCACGTAACGCAATAACACTGAGGGCGCCGTTCAATATACCGGCGGCACACAATGACAGTATGAAACTATTGAGGCGTGATGGTATATGCCTCTCAACTGTTCGCCTCTTCCTGGTGCCTTGACGGGTTGCTTTCACTTTGCTCTTGAATGTTATCGGGCGCTGGCGTTTAGGCGTTATTCGAGATGTTTACCCCAACCGCTAGAGCGTCACCCACACGTCGGGTGCCGAGAGTTACGCTACGAGGTAGCGTCAGTCTTTTTTAGGTGTTTTGTCTGCAAGTCCGTCCCTGTATGAATGAATGGTCTGACTCGATCACCTGTGGGGCGCAAAAGGTCGCACCCTTGGCGTCTCGGGCGGGGCCGGGGTCATGGAACAGGCCCTTCGGTCGCGGCCGAAAGGCCAACCACTCAGCAGGCGCCAGGAAATGCAATCGGTACTGCACCATTGTGTGGGTGGCTCCGTGCGTGTCATTTATTAGCTTCACCGGGAAGTTCGTTTCCGTAAAAACCGGAAGGCCTTGTTAGTTTCTTGTTAAAGTTAGCTGCTTGCGTGTGGAAGGTGAGCTATTGATCAGTATGTTTGAGAGGTTGGTGTTGTTTACACCATGCTTACACTGTCAAGGTTAACTCACTGTTGACCATAATGACCGTTGCATGCAGCAATGGCAGCATACACACCTTCCGATTCTTGGAATGCGTGCTATGATTTGTTAACTTATCTTTGCTTGAGTTATATCAATAGCTCGAAGACTGCACTAGACATCTGCATTGCATTTGTATTCGTGTGTTCTTTTCCTCTTTAGCCTCGGCGTCAGTTCAGCCCCTGGCCTGTGAGTGACGTGCCGTGGGGGCCGAACGGCTTCTTCTTCGAGATGGGCGCCTCGCTGTACAACCAGGAGGGTCCCGTAATCGTCACCTGGGGCGGCTTCAAGCAGCTGGTGCTGGAGACCAAGGTGGACCTGCTCACCATGGTGCAGGTCTTCGACGCCGACGGCTTCGAGATCGAGTCCAAGGTGAGATAACGATGCGCTAACAGAAAAGGGCGGCATCCACTAGCTGTCGTCATGTTTTTAAACAAAAAACGTACGTAAATGATCTTGGCTCACGCAGAAAATTTAATACTTCATGGCAAATGAAGGAACGATCAGATGGTAGGTATGCAACAAATAGCTGATTTTGTTATCTTCATGCTAAGAACAAGTACGATTTTAGTAATGCTTCTCAATTTTTGTTTAGCAAAAAAAAAAAAAAAATTGAAGCTATGATTAAGATGTCAGTCAAAGCTGCTATTTACCGACATCCTTACCGATGTCCGTGTATCCCTCTACCGCAGACGATGGTGAAGCGGAAGGACGTGGACGGTGACATCATCTTCTTCATTCACCCTCCTCGGATCGGCTTCTACAAGCTGCTGGTGTACGGCATCCCTCGGCCCAGTGAGAAGGGCAAGTGGCGACTGCCGCTGATCGCCTCCTTTCTCATCGAGTCCAAACTCAGCCGCAGTGACGGCGAGCCGCCCAAAGAACCCGAAGCCGACACAAAGAAAAAGATCCGCCTGAAGCCGAGGGCCAGGTGAGCCAGCGGCGGCCGCCGCGCGAGCCAACCGGCGCCGGCTGTGCGGAGCTGTGCGGAACTCTGCGGAAATGTGCGGAGCTGTGCGGAACTCTGCGAAACGCTGTGGATTTGTGCGGAACTGTGCAGACCTGGGTGGAATTGTGCGGTCCTGGTGACGGACTGTGTGACGTGGGGTGGCTATCTTGTGCTGTGCCGACCACATCTGACTTCGCCAGCGATCGGCAACGCATGGTATTCCGCGACCGATATCCTTGCAATTCGTTTGGAAGCGACCACACCGATCTGTTCAGCGATATCGTGACGCAGTGTGACGAATGTGACGTCCGGTGACGTGAAGTAACGGCACATGGTTCTCACTCGTCAGAAGAAGACTCGAATGCCGTCTCAGTGGTTGCCGGACATATCATTCTCAGGCGCGCGCTCGTTTTCTCATTATCATTATCACCGGGTGCTAGGGAGGGGAGGGGTGGGGAGGGGAGGGGAACGTCCAGTCTCCGGCGGCGCGTGCCGGTGCGGGCTCAACAGACTAGCATTCCTCACCCTTGTGTCTGCTGTGAGTGTATACTGACGGTGTGAGTGAACAAAGAAATGGTGATATTTATTATTATATCTATGCTATTATCAATGCCGATGCCGACAAATGGCGAATGCCGTTTCCCTGATTAACTCGCGTTCAATTATATGTGCAGGGAAGTAGACCCTGCGGTCTAGCTCCACTGATGGCTCACGATTTATTGTTATCAATTTAACGCGTGATGGTTCGAGAGGCTGTTAATTGTTATTCATTTTATTGAAGCACATTGATATCACAGGTATCAAGTACGATCCTGTTACACATTTTGCATCTCCTTGTTTACTGTGGCTGATTTTTCGTCCGAGCTAGCCAGCCAAATGCCCTTTAGCTCTGTGACTTTTGTACCACGCCCACAAGAATACAGGAATACCTTACCTGTGTGAATAACAGGTTCGCCTCACGCGAAAAACATGTGAATCTTATCTGTAACTGTGACATGCCGGTTATGTAACATGATCTCTCTTACGTGATTTTGAGGTTTTTAATTAGAAAATGTCAGACCCTTGGGATGTCGACGAGAAACGTTTCAGTGTCGAGCACGCATTAAACAAGTTGCATTGATTTTGTATTGTTCTGGGCACTCTCAGACGGTCACGCTTCTGGCTCCACCTTTAGTAAATGGATAACAAAAGTCTGAAAAGACTCTTTTGATTTTGATTTCATCATTTAACGAAATATCTCTGTACCGCCATCAAATAAGGTACATTTTACTCGCGAATTGGCAAAGTTTCCAATCTGGTCTGTTGAAAGCCATCAAACTATAAACCCTGGTCCCGTTCGCGAGTCTTCGAGGGGATGCGATGATTGCAACTTTCAGGCCATTCACGGAAGCTCAACATCGCTGGCAACATGGCTATGACAACCTCTAGCATGTTGGCCTCTGCTTTGTGCCACCGTTATTAGGAAATTTCGTTCCCCCTTCCGGTGTCCAAAAATTGACAATCTATGAAATTTGTCCATCTACGCACGCCATTGAAAGCGAATTAGGTCCGTAAGTGACATTTCAAGCGAGGATACATGACTGTTGCAGTGAAAAAGTTTTGTTGATACTTCCCGCCTGTAAAATGAATTTATCTCGGAAGTGTTACCTAATAAATATATGTCATAAACAAATTGGCGTTTGGGCCCAGTTTTGGCACTAACTATAACAAATGTAGCATGTTATTAAGTTAAAAGTAGTTTTTATGACTATTCTAAAGCAAGGATTAACGAAAGTTCTTTGCTGCATTTGTACTTACAACACCTGTCTTAGTGTCTACTTTCATCAACGAGACGTCAGACGTGGTAGGTACGAGTAGGTAGGTACATTTACCGAAGATACCTAAATAATTTTAATTCCAAACAATGATTTTCTATTGAGCTGAATGCAAACATACCTATACTGTACTGCATATTTTTTTTACCAATTTAATAACATTGGTGCCAAATGCTTGCTGAGATCTAAAAAAAATCCCTTGCAATCAAGCACTTGGTATTTCTAACACAGGCGCCACCCACCGCCCACCACCCGGCCATGGTCCTGCAGGCCCCCGTCGCGTCGGCCATAGCGTCAAGGTTCCTCGACTTGCATCGACCGGTGCACCTCAGTGTTTATTCGTTTCTAGGCGAGCTTCACATGTCGTGAATAAGTGATACCGTGCGGCAGTACAGTAAGACGGGTCTGTTTACTAATGGTGCACCGAGCACTGAGTGCAGGGCGGAAGGGCTGTGATCGGTGCTGCCACCAGCGGACATGGAGAGAAGCTTAGGTTGGTAAAAGGGCCGGTAGAGAGGACAGACAGACAGACAGACAGACAGACAGACAGACAGACAGACAGACAGACAGACAGACAGACAGACAGACAGACAGACAGACAGACAGACAGACAGACAGACAGACAGACAGACAGACAGACAGGCAGGCAGGCAGGCAGGTAGACAGATGGGCAGACGGACAGACGGACAAATGCACAGACGGGCAGACAGACAGACGGACAAACAATCAGACAGACAGACAGGACAGACAGACAGACAGACAGACAGACAGACAGACAGACAGACAGACAGACAGACAGACAGACAGACAGACAGACAGACAGACAGGCAGGCAGGCAGGCAGGTAGACAGATGGGCAGACGGACAGACGGACAAATGCACAGACGGGCAGACAGACAGACGGACAAACAATCAGACAGACAGACAGACAGACAGACAGACAGACAGACAAACAGACAGACAGACAGACCGGCAGACGGACAGACGGACAAACAAACAGACAGACGGATTGGTCTGGTAGACGGACAGACGGACAGCTGGACGGACGGACGAACAGGTAGACGGATGTAGACGGACAAATGAACAGACGGGCAAATAGACTGAGTGCAGCGAAAACCGGAAAGTCCTCTTTAAGATTTAATCGTGTTACATGGTGTGCAACAATTATTTTTCCCTTTATAGTTTATCAAAAGCTTTCTTCAAATAACGATAAATTCTTCAGTACAATTTGACGCCATTCGGAGCAACCAGATAACCTCATCTGCTGTTTTTCAGCCAAAAACCGTGTCGTCGCTCATGTCACTGATTGACGGCTGAATCATTTTCCCTTTGCTCCCGAAAGCAAGGAGTCAGAGGCTCAACAAACACGGCTTTTGAACTCATAAGGTGCAGCTGAAAGTTGGCACCGATCTGACGACATCGATACTCTGGCAGCTTGAGTCATATCCAACTGCTTCTATCGTTTTCAAGTTACAAGTTTTCAAGTTTTCAAGTCTTTCAAGTTGTCTTTCAAGTCTTTCAAGTCTTTGTCCTTCAAGTTTTCAAGTTTTCAAGTTAACGCAAAAGAAGCAACCGAATTAAAATGACGATCTTTAATGAGGTTAGTGCTTGTGCGAGGAACATGTTAATAAATAGTAGAAAATGTAAAAACATGACCTTTTTCCTCGATAATTACCAAAACTAATGCTGTACAAATATATACTTTATTTGAAAGAATATAATATTTCGACCACAGAGGTCAAATATTTCACACTGTGGTTGAAATATTACATTCTTTCAAATATGTAAAGTACCCCGTCTCCGTCCCGTATATATTTGTACAGCATTAGCCCTCGCCCCGTTGGGGGGGCATTTTGGCCCCCCCCCTGTGGTTTTTCCTGAATAGCAAGAAAACGGCGGCGCGCAGCGCCGCCAAATTTTCAGTACCTTTCCGGGCATCAATTTGACACCTTCACACCAAATTTCAAGTCTTAGGTCACCTTAGGTCAGGAGTTATTGAGGTCAAACTGAGGTCATGTTCGAGCAAAAATGAGCAAAAAACATGCAATCTTGAAACGCTCACCAAATCTACAGTTATCAAGCAATTTCAAAGTTCTTTATATGGTCTAATAGACAAAAAGCGGCGCTACAAAACTGCTATCTCGGATTTTCAAAATTTTGGGTTTTTGACCCAAAAAATTTCAAAAAATTGATTTTTTTAGAAAAACTAAAAAAAAATCCAAAAATTTTCCGAATTTCGAAAAAACCGGAATATATGTGATAGTCCCTGCGCTCTTCTATATACATACCAATTTTCAGATCGATATCTTGTTTTTTGGCCAAGTTATAGCGAAAAAACTGTTCAAAAATGATGACGTCAAATTTTTGAACTCAATTTTTAGCGATTCTAGACCTCGTACGGCAAAACAAAGACCACCATTGAACTCCCCGTGACGAGCTGCATCGATTCGATACCCATTTTATGCAAAAATATCAACTTTGAAATTTGACCTTATTTGACCTGACCTTGACCTGACCTTGACCTGACCTTGACCAAAACGTGACCTAAGCTGGCCCCAAAGGCTGCCTGACCAACATAATCGCATTTGTCATGTAAAATGGACCATAAAACATGTATCACACGACACTTTCATATTGTGACCCCCCAGTGACCTGACCTCAGTGACCTGACCTGCCACCTGGTATCAGTGACCTCAACTAGCAAAATATGTGTTTGAAGAACATTTCCCCATCGATGATTTTCAATGAAATGCATTTTACTCGATTTTACAACGCATTTCTTGAAATGCCTGTAAACGGTGAAAATTCGACCTTTGACCTGACCTGTGACGTCATCGGTTTGACCTAGGTCAATAAAATTGGGTCACAAGGTAGTTCCCTGATAGGGCTATCCAACACCGTTTGCCGCTTGTCGCTACGTTGCGTGGTTCTCGAGATCTTAGGGGGGGGGCCAAAATGGCCCCCCCCCAACGGGGCGCGTTGCTCGGCAGAGCCCAACGGGGCGCGGGTTAGTTTTGGTAATTATCGAGGAAAAAAGGTCAAGTTTTTACATTTTCTACTTTGCATAAAAATGACTGTCAATCAATGAGTCATGCTGCCATTCAGTACGGTTATGTTTATGAACGAAATTACATTCTAATGATAATAAAAAACTAAGTGCCAATTCTAATATTCATTAGTTGTTGTACTCATCATCTCGCTTTTTCGTTGCCAGTGTCTGCAGCTGCTCAGCTGTGATGTGTTTTCTGTGGCTTCTTTTCTCACTCGGTTTTACTCTTTGTCCCCGTCTTCGTCATCCGTTTCTCATTTCCGTCCTCTTACCCTGTCATCTTCCCATAACCCACAATCTTTCACATCCATGTTGACGCCTTCGAATCCCCTTTACGTCCGCAGTTTACATCACTGGCGCGGCATTATCAAATCGGCCGTCTCTCGACAACACTTTATTCATACGAAATCTTCCAGATGTATTAACGTAAACGCGGCCCGACGCGGAAGCGGTGGCAAAAAGCCGTCGTCGACGGAGAGTTGCCGCACGATAGATGGCAGCTGCGGGCCGCCGAATGCCAATGAGGCGCGCCAGTCTGGTGTGCGCCACAAATGAATTCGGCGCGGCCGCCGGCCACCATCCG